ATGGCAAACCTTTTAAAGTTTTCAATGATAACACACAGCCCACTGTGGCATAAGTCCCGCAGGTTCGCCACCACGGGTATGAACTACGACCCAGCAGGACCCTTCTCACTTGAGCACTAAACTCCATCCAAAGTCAAGTTCCAGAGTGTTCACTGCAGGTTTATTCCTGACAGCCCCAAACTGTAAACAGCCCAAATGTACATCTTCAAATTTTCCTTCAAGTTTTGGGTAGCTGGCCCTACCCAAAAAAAAAAAAATGGCATGTGATCTAGCAACTCCAAATCTCTTTTGACTCACACAGTTCTTTCATGGTAATAAATAATGTAACAGATCTTGTCAGGGTATTTTTATTTTTATCATATATGATAAAGTAATTTTTAGTAAGACGTATTTTTTGATACATAAGTGTACATATTTAAGGAGCACAATATGACATTTCACTAGATGTACACAAGGTATCCACTGCTTTTCAATAATTATTAGTAATGAACAGAAATTATGATATAGTTATACATTCTCGTCAGCAATGCAATAGAACAAAATATTGCCACTCAGTGTGCACCAATATTAGATAATACTAGCAAATGAAACCCCACAAGTGCATGCTGCATAAATATATTTATATCAAATTCCTAAAATGGCAAAACCAATCTACCGTAGGTGAGGCCAGAACAGGCAATCTTTTGTGGTGGTTCCTTAACTGCAGTGGAAGTTATCCAGATCTACGTGTGATGTCACAGAACCGTACAAACACTGTACCCACGATGATGTCCTGGTTTTGATATTACACTGTAGTTAAATAAGATGTAACCACTGCAACTCTATGTACTATTTTTGCCAAAAGAGAAAAAAGAAAGATAAAATAGGAAAAAATCCTGGCTCTTAAGTTACCATTCACTGAAAGAGGACTACAGAAAAAATCAATGTAGTAATTAAATTTTATTCCACATAAAATAGTCTATAAAGATGACACAGCCCAAAGAACTCTACCTTATTTTTCATTTAAGCTATGACAATTAATGACAAAAACAATTTTTTGGGGGTTTTGTTTAATCACTACTGCACAAAACCCAGAGGATTAAACCTAGGCCTTGCATATAGTAGGCAAGTGTTCCCCCACTGAACTATACTCCCAGCACCACCTCCATGCTTCCATTTCCAATCCTCTTCCCTCAGCTTCCAAGGAGCTGGGCATATGGAGGTACAACACCGCACCCAGCTGAGAAATTGTATTCATTCAAGTATTAAGCCAGAGCAACTTACCACATCAAGTTTTGACCATGCCTCATAATCGTAAGATTTTATCCTGTTTTTAGTGTTTTCCTCTTTGGTTTTTTTAGAAGACTCTTTCACTTTCCCTTTCTTCTTTTTCCTAAAATTCCCATTTCGAATAGGAGGTAAACTCTGGAGAGAAAAAAAAGCACCATTTTGAGCATTCTGCTCTGTTATTTTTTGTGTAACTAGCAATGTTTAAACTTTTCACTAAATTATATATTCAAGAAGTAATTTCTCAATTTAATTTTCAACTGTTTCAAAATATCAATCTACCAATTTACCATGTTCACTTCTAAGAATTATGCTTTAAAAAATAAGAATTATGCTTGAAAAGTTTAATTCATCTTTTGATGAATGTTGAACATTGTTCAATCACAAATATTATCTGGAAATTTTGTCTCAAAAAAAAAAAAAAGTTTGGCTGAACTTAGGCAGCATCCGCATTTTTATGCCAGTATTATACAGTAATATATCACTAAATACATAACTATCCACATTATTTTCATATTTCACAAACACCCCCTACACATTTCATGACGCTGTTCATTTACCTTTAAGTGTCATCCTTTTCGCAACTATTTACTAAGATTTGAAATGCCTCATGGGCTGTACAATCAATACAATTATTACAAAGACTCTGTAAAAAGGAAAACTCCTAAAAATATTGACAGTGAAGCCAACTACTTCAATTTTGTATTTTCACAAAGCAATTTTAAAAGCCATGCCTTGCTTTAAAATATGAAGTTCCACTAGCTACTAAGTTAGGAATTCTTACTTTACCTCTTCAGGAACACCGCTCTGTCTTCTCAGCTCCATATCCTTCTGCTTAATGTCTTTCTCCCAGTTTTCTAAATCCCTCATAAAGTCTTGTAATTCTTCTGCATTTTGCTTCACTTGTAGTTGTAATTCAACGGCTTTACTGGTTGAAGTCATTATGGCCTGCAGAGTTTTGAATAACCAAACTCTGAGAGAGATTAAATACACTGACAAATGCTCCTCAAATTGCAAAGAGTTATTTATCCATAACCCTGTCATAAACTGACGATACTTAAGTCAAAAATGTATGTAATCTCCCTAGCCTACCAAACATAATTTCGCAAAATAGTACAACTAAATATCAGTTGTATCTTTGTGATCACACGGCTGGGTGGGAGCTGCAGCCCACTGTTAACAGCCAGCACTGCAAGAGAGTACCAGGTATCACTCAGGGAAAGATCAAATCCAAAACTGGAAGCAGTTTCTATTACATCATATTGCTGCTCACCACCATAAAGTTGAAAAATACTAAGTGGAATCTTAAGTCGGGGGTGGTCAGGCTTATTTCTCTGAAACCTAATTTAACAATTTTTCAATGCTTCATCAATGGCCAACATACAGCACAGAAGTCCACCTGAAGTTATGCTGAATAAGCAAACTATCAATTATCTCCAGGTGCGGTGGCGCATGCCTGTAATCCCAAGCACTAGGGAGGCTGAGGCAGAAGGACCCTTCCCAGTTGGAGACCAGCCTGAGCTACAAAGTAAGCACAAGGCAGCCTGAACTGCATAGCCAGACCCTGTCTCAAAAAGACAAAAAAACAAAAACAAAGCATCAGTGTAATAGGAGTCAACTGTTGGCTGAATAAACACACAAGTTTGGTCATCCTAGAAACACAGTATGAATAAAAGGCAATGGGGTTAGGAAAAAAAAAAAAAAAAATCACTGGAATTAGCAAGTAGTCCATGGTAACCAACTGCTGCTTATCTCTAGAATTTATAAGCATACCCCAATACTTCTTTTACTCCTTGTTCTTCCAACATTTACTGAACTTCTACATGGTAGGCTCCATATCAAGATTTAGGGACGCAAAAAAACAAGAAAGGCAAGGTCTCTGGTCTAATACAGAAGAAGTAACAGAAGGACGGAGTGGCAAAATCTCGTCAGGAGAGGTTTCTCAACCTTGGGACTACGGACCTTTCGGACTGAGTAATTCTCTGTTAAGAGGTGCTGTCCAGGGCTCATGCAGCCGGTTGGCAACAACCCTGTCCTCTACAGGCTCAAGGCCAGGCCAGCACTACACTTTTCCCTAGGTCGCGGCCAAATAGCCACAGAAGGCAGAATAACCACTGGCAGAGAAGCACGAGTTGAACTGTGGAGCTGGTCAAGAAGAGGCATAAATCAGAGGGTGGTGGCATCAGGGAGAAGTCCGCGAAGATGCTGAAGCTGCAGTTAGGTTTCAAAAAGGGCCAGTTGGGTGAGCGGTAAAGAAACTGAAGGAGAGCAGAAAATCGAAGAGGCACAGATTCTCAAGCGCCAGGCCGTGGGGTCTGCCCTGGCTGTGCTCTGAAAGCCCCGGAAGGTACCGGGTGGTAAAAGGTGACTCGAAGACTAGTTACACTGAGGCGGAGCGCCCAGCGACTCGGACGCTGCTCCCTCTAGCTTCCCGGCTTGGGAGCCCGTGAGATGAGTGATCGCACTCAGGACGAGTCAGGAAATACAATTCTAAAGGAGGTTTCAGAGTCGGAGGGCAAAGGTGCGACAGGATCGCTCTAGCGTGGGACAAGCGGATCTGGGAGCTCAGCCATCAGCAGGCAGCGACCAAGGACTCGAGATGACTTTGAGCGTCACCAACTGGGAGCGAGAATCCTGGACTGGGGCCCGTGTAGCCACTGCGACTCCTGGAGGGTGGAGGCCTAAAAGGTGCTACCATCTAGGAAAAAGGAGGAGAGGCGCCAGCTCGGGAGAAACAGGCAGCACCACCTTAGGAGAAAACCAGATGTGCTGACCACAGGGAGCGAGCTCCGGACGGTGGGAAGGCGGGCGGTGCCGGGCACCCGAGGGCGCCCGAGGACACGGAGCGCCTGGATTCGGCCACGTAAAGGTTACTGCGGGTTCCAACGGCGTCCTTTTACAGGGTGCAAACGAGTCAAGTAAACGAGATGAGACGGCAACGTAGTATCCGCTCCCGAATCTCGCCGGGGTGATCAAGAACAAGGAACAAGTCACAGGGAAGACGAGGAGATCCAAGGCGAGGTCCCCGAGGGGCGGGGGCCGCTCAGACCTTAGAGAGGAGAGCGTCGGATGGAAGGACGGGTGAGGGCCTCCCCGGGAACGGCCGAAACGCACACCGAGGAAGGCAGCAGGCAGCGCCGCCCGCGACAGCTGCCCGGGCCGGAGCCGCCCTCCAGCGGCGCGGCGTTCGGTCACCACTCAACACGCGCTCACGCAGAACTTGGGCGACGCTCTGCTGGGGTCCGAAAAAGAAAAAAAACAACCGCAAAGGCTGCGCCGCGCCGCAGCTCCCGGCCCGGGAAGACCGCGCTTCTCCGGAGCCGCCCGCCCGGGACGCCGCCGCTCCGCGGGGCTGAGA